CCTTGCGCTCGCCCTTGCGCGCTCTTGCGCCGTGCCGTGTTTAGAGCATGTCTTAAACCTGAATCCAAATATTAAAGTGCGCTGCTAGTCTACGGTCAAGAGCCGGGGGTTTAGAACAACCCTCATATATATATATATATGTATGTACACACCTCTTTCCTGAAAGTTAATGACTTACTCTCTAGAAGTTCCCGGTTGTGTGTAAACTCACATTGTACCATGCTGCCTGTGGTTTTCGCGTCCCATCTGAGGCAATCACCACAGAACGCTGTACTGGATCCGACTGTCACCAGCATCTGATACAAAGGCCCGAATCTGCATCGTTTAGTGGCCTAGCATGGTCGGCCTCCCTCTCTCTCGGTTGTAGTGATGTGATGTATCTCCTTCTGTTCGCAGCCATCGTGTAGATTCGCCGCCGAACTGTGTTTGTAAGAATGATGCAGAAGGGAACTACTAGACTCGAACTGCTAACGGCTGTCTGAGCGATCACGGCGGGGAGGTGGCAAAGGAGAGCGCTCTCCTCAGCAGCTCACTAGCTCCCGAAATTCTTCAACTTTGAAACTTCCCTTGTCCGGTAAAGAAACACGGCTTCCAGATCCCAGCTTCTGGTCAACCTCAAATCTCGGGATTGGAAAGCTGTGTGCGCGCATCAAGCCAATGCCCAAGAAACCTGAACATGGTCTGAATGCTGATCGACCTCGCTCTCCAATGAGATGTAGAGAGCTTCGAATCATAAACAATCACTGCAAAAACCTTAGAGTGAGAATTCCCCGACCGGAAGCCCTGGACCCCGAAGCATCCCGAAGGCCCTTAACTTTGCCGTCCGATGTCTCACTGGGGACCTCCGCCGGCTGTCTGAGCGCCTTGCAGAGGCGGGAGAGACCAGGGTTTAGGGCAGAAGCGGCATCATTCGGTGCCTAGTGCAAGGATTGTGACCAAGATCCGAAAACATGGCTTTCGATGTCACTTCAACCAGTAGGTCTTTGCCTACCGACCAAACCTGCATTCGTTCGATGTCTTTCAACTAGGCGCTGGGGATTCCAATCGATGTGCACTCGGCGCTACTTGCAGTCTTCCTGGGCCAGATTCGGGTCTGGCTCTCCAGCACAGTGAGGTGCTTCAAGTCGCCATTATCGTTTAGGTATTTTCAGGTTGTCGATCCGGCAAATATAAACTTCAGCAAGCTAGAGTGCAATAGTGCCTTTCAGCCGTTTTCGTGCGCTCGCATCATGATTTGGCAGCCTGTGCAAAACAGGCTTGCGAAAATTCCCTGCCAGACTCTTCCAGACTGAAGACGGCTTCGTCAGCAGAAAGCAGTCACTGGGCCCACGCGTCTGCGTCCATCTTACCCGACTGCTGATTGGCCATTGCGATGTACTTTGGCTGGAAGCTATCCCGGTTAGGTTGTTCCATGCGCCATGAGCCAGGCAGAAAGCTGCCGGCAATTCCAACCTCCATGACTCAGGTACCTGAGCTGGCAAGGTTGCGGACATCAGCCGAACATCACGAAATCCTTATCTCAGCAATGGGTGATGATGAAGGCTTCTACAACAAACGAACGGTCAGTTACATGTCAAATCCAGGATGCTGTGCACCGGGTCCTCCACGATCCTCAGCTCCACATATGGCGCAGGCGTGCTTATAATCACACTGATCTGCCGGGAGCGTGCATCGCACGTCCTCCGAATCTCGGTTGAAGTTCACGCAAAAGCGAGCCCGGATGCAGAAGGCCCTCAGCTTGCGCCAATCCTCAGTGTCCTGATACTTGTCCCGTTGACGCAAAGGCTGTTTCTTCAGCTGTGACTCTTCCGATCTTCTTTGGAGGGCTTGCGGGGGCTCGACCGGCTTGGGTGGTGGTTGTGGCATCTCCGCTTCTGGTGCGCCAGGACCAGCGGCCGCAACGGCTGCTGCAAAGGGACACTGCCGGGTGGGTGGAGGGGTCGGCGGGGCATCGTGCGTGTTCACGTTGTTTACTCCTTTGGTCGGCACTCCTCCCTTTGTCTCATCACAACCTCGCCATTCAGCTGCCTCCCGGTCGGCCAGGCCCTCCTGCAAGGAATTCAGAAAGCCATCCAGTTTGTCCGGGACTTCCGCCAATGATCTCAGAAGAGCTTGGCAGCGACTCTCCAAAGACGGGCAGGGTCCAAACTTCCTCGCCGCTTGTACCAAAGGACCGGTGAAATACATTGCGACTAGGGACAGAGCACCTGGTGCATCAGCCAAGGCAGCGGCTGCGAGCAGCTCAACTCCCTGCCGGAGAAATCTACAGAAAAGCCGCTCGGCAGGGGCCTTCCCTGGTGCGAGCAGCCCAACTTCGTCAGAAAAGCTCGCGACATGTCGGCGCAGGAGGTCTAGGCACGGGGGGGCTCCGCCTGATGCTGTCTTCTGGCGAAGGCGCAGAGTAATGCCACTCTTGCATTCCAGCTGCTGTTGGGCTTCGGTCGCACGCTTCCAGAGGTCAACAGCGTCGTCATGCAACCTGGTGCGAAGACGAAAGTTGAAACCGCCAAGCCCTGAACATTCCGACAAGCCTGGATGCCTGGAAAAGGTAGTGTAAGCTTCCGTAGGGTGCACTAGGGTTCCGCCATCCAACGTCACTAGATTCTACGCCTTTAGGCCCATTTCTTCAAGAGGAGCTTGAGCCGACGCTGTGCAAGCTTCGTCGCTTCAGGGAGGCCGTCGGCCTCGGCATCCTCCCTGGCTTGCTGCGCTTCCTTGCAGCGCTTGAGAAGCCCGTTCCTAGGTTCTCGAAACTCGGGGGAGAAGAGGGCTGGGAGAACGGCTGTCAGCAGTGCCCTTTTGAAAGAGCTAGGTGCACAATCGATCCAGGATTCATTCCGAACAAGCCCCCGCTGCTGGTCTCTTCTTCAGTCGGAACGTGGATGCGCTCAAGCATCAACTGGAGCTGCTGGAAGTCTTCCTCACTGCCACCCTTATCCGGATGGACAGATAGGGCCTTTTGCTTGTAGCTTCGATGTACCGCTTCGGGCTCTGCATCGGCACCGAGTCCAAGGAAGGCCAGCGCGGAGCGTCGCTCCAAAGCCGCCACAGACTCCAGGGCCTGGTCCCGCCAGCGCTGTAACGCGGAGACCTCCTCGGACAGGTCGCAGCGCTCGCTGTTTCCGACGTCGCCCCAGTCTTTCTGGATCTCCAGAGCGATGGTCGAGGGCTTAAGAACGCCCAGCCTACTCCGCTGCTCTGCCTCCGACAGGAGCGAGTCTCCTTCGGAGCATTGCTCTAGAAGGGGCAGTGCCACAACTCCCAATCCGAAGACAGCCACTCCTGCGGCCACACGGGGCTCCCCGTGTTGCAACAGCAGGCCCGTCGCATCAGTGGAGGACCTCGCCTTGGTGAGTGTCGCATCATCGTGGTACGGGACCAGGGCTGTTGCAGGCTCGTCCTCCCCACATGCCAAGACCGTCATGCCCATGTCCGCAAAAGCTTTTCATGGGAAGGGTATCCGTTCCGTACTGTCTGATCCGGGTACGACAACCTAAGGGTTTGATTGGGGAGTCTACGGTTTCCGATGGTGGGGAACAGAGTTGCCAGGCTCCAGGAGGCTGCTAAGCTTCCATTCCTGTTATGCTGATGGGATAAATGCTGAGCCGACGATGCTGTGGAATCCACTCTTAATTCTGCACGTGCCTGCCGTGAACAATGTTTTGAACCATTTTCCTCTTGAGAGAAAATGCTGGTCACCAGGGCTTCGTGGTCTTCATAGAATTTTTCGGACGGGACGGACGGCAAGGACACCTCCACCATCTAACGGAGTCCTGCTGCAGCCTGCCGACTTGAGAAATCCCAGGCCACTCTCAAATCTGACATCAGCCCTCAGCCCCCTATCCAGCAGAGAAAGGGCAAAGCGAAAAGGAATGACAACTGTGCACCCTGCCTTCGCCGCGGAGGGCTGGGCGACCTGACTGCAGAATGTGGGTGTGTGACCCATTCGTTTCAACCTGGCCACATCAAATCACGATCGAAATTCGGTATCCAAAGGGTTAAACACCTCAAATCCTCTACTCACAGCAGAGACAAGAACCCTTTGCAAGGTTGCTTTCCGGAACCCGCCCGCTTTGCTTCTACACCCTCCCTGGAGACTCTGATTATCCTCAACCGCTACATTCCGCAACTCCGAAACCCTTCGCCCGCCGAATCCCGCGAGACACAAACCTTTTCATTCCTACGGTTCAGAGCCTGTAAACGCCTTCACATCCTGACCGTGAATGGCACGGGCCCCAACCTGCGCCGGCTTCGACTGCGATCCCGGGCGGCTGGGCGCCGGTCATCCTCCAGGCTTGGACAGTCTGTGCGTTCGCGACTTCCACTGCGCTGAAGAACACATGATGATGCTGACGACAGAGAATCCAATGGTGGTCCTCGCTTATTCTGTACAGTGCTGTGGTTCTGGCCAATACAGTTGCTGCTCTTCTTGCCGCACAAGGCCTAAACCCGTGTCCTTTTTACATCACTTGTGCTTCAAGAACCCGACCCCTGGACGCCGATCATGCAAGGACACGAAGCACTGTTCGGGAAATCCACTTGCCTCATCGCGCATTGGCATAACCTGAGTGAATGTTGGGGAAGGATTGAAGCTTGCGGTCTCTGATGTCTTTAGGGTGGGTGGAAGTAGCCCAGATCCCGAACCTCACTCATCTCCACCGCCAACCCACCAGCCCATTCGCTCTCCCTCCTGCAGACAGCAAACACCCAAACTTGGGGTACTTCATCCGCCCATGGCCGCAAATCTTCCAACCGCTGTCTGATGTCCATGTTACCCCTCTTAGCAAGGAAAGGACCCTGCACAAAATCGGCAGGTAGTTCTCAAACTTCGAAGTTTCTGCTAGTTCAGGGAGTGCGGGAAGTACCGGTCTGCCATTTCCTGATGCTTTCACCCATCCTATTTTGCAGGATTCGGTCAGGACTTGCCGAATCACCCCAAGCAATCGACGAACTACTGGACGATCATCTGTCAGGGGGGACGAAACATGCAGCATCCGGGTAGGAATGCTGCCGTCGGCCAGCTAGCTACGTGGAAAGGGGCACCTGCAGAACAACCCAAAGCCTGTCGCCCCGAGCTTAAGAATGTCCAACAACGACGCAAAAACGTTCTGGGATGTCCGCGTTGATGGCCAGTCGGCTCTTGCGTGCACTCAGTGGCTCCTCCAGGTTCGGAGCTTGTGCTTGAGGGCATACTTAGTCTTTGAAGACGGAGCATGGGCTAACTGTAACGGCGCTGGCCCATGACGTCCAATCGCCCTCTCACTGAACATGCAAACAAAGGCAGCCGAAGATTTGAGAGTAGACAGCCCGGGTAAAATGGGGACGTGTCCTATGGTACTACAGAATCTCATCGTCTGTCTCTGTCTTTCGGTGCCTCAATATCGAACTTGATTCGCTGATGGTTCCTTGGTGCAAGTCAGGAACCCTGCCAATCTTGGCATCCTCAGCAAGGCAAGGCTGCTGACTGATGCTAGCCGCGAGTGCTGCCGAAATTCCGAATCATGGTGGCACAAAAGAAACCCCGAATGAAGCGAACCTAGAACCGCAAAACGTGGTTCTCCCTGGGCCGCAGGCTTGAGGCCAAAGATCTTCGCCTCACTCCGTAGCTTCGGATCCTGTCGGAAGTTCTCATGGGCGCTGAAGAAGATTTCGGACTTTGGTTGAGAGCTGCAGTGTCCGTGCGTTGCGGCTTCCTTCTGCGGACTTGCTTGTATGTCGCTACATGTCGACACCCCGCTGAACAGGACCAGGCACAGCGTTCTATCGAGTAGGCTTGCAGTGAAATGCATCCTCTCTCACAAGACTTCAGCTTACGGCCCTTGCTTCAGCATCATGCCCGACATCTGCATTGCGGCATTGTGACTTTTGGATTTCGAACTCTTTGCATGGCCCATGGATCCCAGGTATGTCAGCTACACTGACAAGGTCACTCATCATCTAACATCCAAACCCCTAAGCCCCTTCATGGCTTACATCACCCAGCCTGAAAAAAAGCTTATTTTCGTTTGAGCAGGAGCCCAGAAGCTCTCCTTGATACTGTCTGCGTAGAGGAACAAATCACCGCCGCCGCCGTCCTTGTCACCGTCAACCTGACTTAAGAGGGATACTCGGCATCCGAGTTCAAGTCAAGTCAGAGGAAACATTGCAGGAGTGTAGTGCAACTGTTAGAGCGAAGCCAATGGCTGCAAGAGACTGGGTAGCCGGATCTCTGAGACTTGTGGAGAAAGCGCATCACCTTCCTATGTCCTCGCGTGCTTTCCCTGTCAGAGACGTTTCAATGTAAGCTGGATATGATGCGGTATGGTCGTAGGTTCTGAAGACTACTCGGCAGCCTTGACGAAGCCGAAGCCTTCCGAGTTGCGCCTGCCAGGCCTCAGTCACGCAGAGCATCGCCTTGTCTCGGAGACTTGTCCCGTTGGGCTCAACCATCACTTGCTGAGGGGGGGGATGCGTTGCTTGTTTGAAGCCTCCAGCTCAGATGCACCAAGACTCTTGAGTACCTGGCTTCGGAAAGTTCCAATTCGAGACGGTCCCCGTCGGCATGGTCTAACCTCGAGGAAAGAATGAGCTCGAAGTGCGATTGCAATGACAGTCGGTCTTACCACCAGTGCAGCCGCTAGCAAGCCGGGTGGTAGAGGCAGTGGTGTGATGGCTGTGATCGTGGTAAAGGTTGGGGTACTCGTCGTTCTGGCGGTGTCAGTGGCAGCAGCAGAATTGTGGTGGCAGCAGCAGTCGCGAACCAACAGACTGAGGAATAGCACGGAGTATATTCATGTAAAGAGCCGTCACTTGGAGGTGCTGGTGGTGATGCTGGTGAGGGCGGGGCTGGTGGCAGTCGTCGTTGCTAACAGCAGCGGTGGCAGAAGGAGGAGAACAGTGTAAGCACCTTCTCATGTTTAACTTCATCACCATCATCATCATAAGATCAATGCTCATAACTCATCATGAACATTCATGAACGACAATTGATAGTTCAATCCTTTTGCTGTGGAGGTGTGGTCTGCATGGTTAACGCAGTCCAGGTCGTCAAACTCCTGCACAACTGTGCCCTTCGATGGATCACTGTCGTGCTCAGGCGCCGCACCGCCTCCGGCCAAGGTCAGCAGACGTGTCAGCGCACACGTCCCAGGCCGCGCCAAGCTAAGAGGACGTGCTGATGCAAAAATCTTTTAGATCACTGTTCAGCTTGCATCGACCGTTACGACTCATGTTTCTGCTTGGTCGCAGTGCAAGGTATCCTGGTTGTCTGCAAACTACTCATGGCTTACACTGCTGAACATGAAAGTGCCAAACATCAGTTGCTACCAACATGCTTGAACCTTGTGCAATCAACACGACCGGGCTGTGAACGAGGATCCGTGATGCTGCACCGCAGGCCCTGGTGATGTTAACAGGCCATATCAGTTTCAGCAAGAACATCAAGAGACAAAGCTTCAACAATTGCTGCTCAGCCACTCGTTTCGATTCTGGATAGATGATGATGACAATAATGGTGGTGCTGATGATGAAGACGGTACCCGAGTCGGGGTCCAGCACTATGACGACCTCTTGCCCGCGCCCACCCCTACACCCAAAAAAAGCACCGACGCAGAAAGGCGCAAAGCCCCCCATCGTTTTTGAAAAGTAGGCAATTACAGTCACCAATGCCGCAAGGCTTATTCATACAGCAGTATCAACCAACCATGGCTGTGAAACATGCTGAAGCCGTTACAGTGAGTCAGTGTGTCTGTATAATCACCGTGATGGCAAGCACCCCAGCAACAGCAAACTTCGTCGCAATTTTGCTTATGGCTGGCGATCATTGCGCCAGCTTGCAAGCAAGCTTCAGATACGCAGGAACCTGCACATTTCGCAAGAATTCGGCTCCGTGCAATGCTTCGCTAACCCATGTTGCTTCGAGGGGCTGCAGCCAAATACCGAATACCGCCGTATGCCCGAAATCCTGCCAGAGTGAGTCATAATACTGGTTTCTTCGCGTGCAACCTCTGCAGGATTTCGAGCTAAAAAGTCCAGCCTAGCTTGACGGGATGCTCGCTTTAGCAAGCGTCGAAGTCTCAGCCCTGAAGATCGGATTGCCTGGCTGCCTTGTCTAGGCCTAGAGATGAGAATCAACCCTTGTAATGTCATTCTGGTTTTCGGGTTTGGCGACTCACGCTTCTCATCTTTCATGGTGCAGGCTTCCGGAGCTCAGCTTGTACATAGCCCACTACTACAGTAAACCCTGTGCCACCCTGAGACTCTGAAAAGAGTAAAGTCGCAAAGAACATCAAAGAACCGAACTCCACCCACTGCCGAAGTCTGACACGGAAAAACTCGAGCAGGTAGTTCCACTTGCACCTGCGCAGATCCCGGCGCTGAGCCGCCCCGGAGCTCGAACCTTTCGCCCCGTTGCAAGACCTGCGAAGTTCAAATCGCGCATTTGATGGCGCTTCGAAACATCTTTGTTGGCAGGCTTGAATTAATTCTCCGGGCAGCGTAGACCTAGCTGTCTGTGGAAACCTTGCAGGTTAGGAAAGCAAGTTCAACTCGAGTCGGATTCTCAGGGAAAGCCTTCGAACCTGCTTGACTGCTTCGAAGCAAAGACACCAACCCTCTCCTAAACACAGTATAACAATTAAATACAGTATAACAATTAAATATGACGCTTGCTAATCTCGCTTGAAGAATCAGCAGCTAACACACAGTAAGGTGGATTGATCCCGGGAGGAAGATACGAAACCGCACCAGGATCTTGGCCGAGAGTCCGGAACACCCCACGTGGAAGCCCCCAAGCGAAGGCTAAACCTCGAGTTGCGCGTCCAAAAATCTAAGCCTCTGAGCCAGAAGGGCTTTTGAAGTCCCCAAGGATCGCCTTTGTGCAGCTCGGGCGGGCATCGCAGGCCCTCTGGGCCTACAAGGACTTGGCACTGCGCTGCTTCGGACCCGGTGGGGGAGGCTCGTCGGGGTTGCTAAGCTACTAAGCTAATACCACCGGCGACGAGATGTTGCGGCCACGACAACATGGACAAATCAAGGGAGGAACACCGTCGCGACAGGAGACAATACTAGGTAGAGTCCTAGAAGAACTCAGAAGAATCCAGAGGAACAATAGTACGACGGGCGATTAGTCTATAGGTAGCAGAAGAAGCAGCAGCAGAATAGAAGAAACAAAACACAGTGGCAGTAGCAGTCGCAGCAGTAGAAGCGCCTCCTCCAAAGTGGTGAACTCGTGGCAGAGGAGGTCACAAACGCCCTGCTCTGCTGTCTGACTTGAGCTGTATTCACCTGGAGAGGTTCGGACAGGACAGACCAGCCCTAGACTGCGATGGCATCAAAACGAAGAATCCATCAAGAACGATCTAGAGATTCTGAATTAGGTGTTGCTGACGTAACCCACCGAAATGTTTCGACGCTGGACAGGGTGTGGAAGCCAAGTGTTTGCCTGGGGACGCTGCCCATATGCAAGTGCCCAACTAAGCGGATCTTGGATACATGGGGTCTGCAGCTAGGAGGCACTGCAGGTTGGCAGCCTGGCATGGGCTGTGTACTGGACATGAAACCACTTTGCAGTTTCTATGCTCGGAGATCTGCGGCTTCAGGGCGGTGAGAAGCTCGGAAATCTCTCGGAACGACTCCATAAAAAAATGTAAACTTTCGGTCGTTTCTGTAAAATTGAAGATCTCAAGTCGTGTGGGCCTCAGCCACTCGCTGTGACGCTGCGACAAACCGCGGCTCCGCTCTCAGTCGGTCCATGGTGTCGTCGTGCACCAGCCAGAGGTCCTCGGTTTCGGTATGTTGAAGCGGATCTGGGATTGGGATGTTTTTGGAAACTTAGTTTGGCCGGCCGAGTTTGAGCGGATCGGTTGCCACAGATCCGCATCCAAACAATCTGCTTCTAAGGCACGGTGTGGTAGCCCTGCAAAACCTCACAGTAGCCAACACACGCTTACATGATCTGTAAAACGACAACGAACTTCACATGGCCCCTTCCCATGATGTTGACTCTTCATGTGTCGAATGCTAGTTCAAACGACTACCCAAGGTCCTGGTGTGGCAAGTTTCTTTAAACGTGATGTATGGTTTTGAGACTCAGGCACCATGCCGGTAGCAGCCCAAACCCTGCAAGCCTGCTCCGGCGCTGTCTCCACAAGCTTGGCGGCCCGGCAGTCTATGTGAACCTTGGGTTCACTTGAGGGATTCATGTTTTTAGCTTTCGGATGTTTGGCCCTCCTTCGTTGAGACACTGGGTGCAGCGAAGCAGCCCCTGCAACGATGAAATCCTCAGCTTCGCAAAGCTACACAGCGTGCTCGTCGGGTGCTTAAACTTTAGCCCGGAGCAGAAGACAAAACGATGTCACTGGCGAGTGGGAGCTTCAGGCTCCGAACGTGAGAGCTCTGCTGCAATCTGAGGATCCCAAATTTCGCGGAGGGCTTCCCCCTCAGCGTCCAACAAGTCTGCGCCGGCACAGCGGAGACCGGCAGGCAGGAGGATACCTTCCGAAGAGGAGCCCGTGCGAAGCGCTACTGTGGTGCAGCGCACAAGCAAATTAAGGTCCTAGCATCAAAAAAAAGAACACACCTAGCCAAGACAGGGCTTGGACAAAGAGTCTCAGGATTGCAGGTGCCCGACGGGCTCTACTCCGGGCTTTCCCAAGAAATGTCCGGAAGCTGTGCCCTTCTGTTCGCTTGCGGCGTTCAACCCTCGGGTTGAGATCTACACAAGCTTTGTCTGAACTCCTCACGGAGGTGCACTGCCAGGGCCGAGGTGACAGCTGCTGGAGCGTTTCGAGCGCAGATTGGGCGGCCGGGGAATGGTCGTACTCCATCTGCACCACCTGCTTGGGATCAAGGTTTGGGCTGCAAGGTAGAGGATTAGGCTTGGGAGCATCAGCCGAACATCGCTCCACGCCGGCTCTTGCAATGATTGAGGGCTTATGACTTATTATGACGTGTGGGAGTGAGGACCTCGGCTGTCAAGACGTGGTGGTCACAGTTTGGGCTGTCGAGTGTTCCTGATGCTTCGGGAGGTTCGACCTAGGGTTGGGTCTTTCGAGTGTCGGGATCGTAGCTTTCAGATTTCAAGCCTTGCGATCATGAAACTTCCTGCGGACTCTGGGGCATGCTGTCATTGACTCAAACAGAGCAGTCACTTGCAGAAGAGTTCCGTGAACCAGTACCAAGCGTTCTGTTGCGCATCTAAATGCACTTTTGTCCAGCAGGCAGGCTTTGCCCCTTCCGCGTAGCACGGACCTTGGGTTTGGCTCGCATCCGACATCTTCGACACTGTGGCATGGGTTTCTTGGCCTGGGGCCTTTCGAAATCAAGTCCACAGGAAGGCTAGACTCCAAAGAAAACCCATACAGCCGACCCTAAATCAATGACGCCTTAGACTCGAACGACAATGGAAGCCCCCTCGTCCGAGAGCTTGCCCAGGGTCAATGGCCAGAATCCCAATCGAAACTCTAAAGCTGCCTGGATCGATCCAGCGGCCAGGAGCTCCTTGCCCGAGCGGAAGGCCTGACTCCGAGCTGAAACCGCAGGGAGCTGGGTTTCTTGGTACAGAG